CACAAAAAAATATAACACTGTATTTTATAATTTTATATTTTCACACAGACAATAGCCGTTTCTCAATATGCGTTCTTGTGGACTTTTGAAACGTCATTGCCCAAAACCCACGTAATTTTCAAAATATTACTGTTATTGTGTCATGAAATGTAGTTTTAAACGTTTTTCAGGCGAGAATGTAGTTGTTTAAAACTCAAATCTGCGGTTTATTTATAAAGATATTTGAAAATTTGCTATGCCGATTTTGGAGCTCCAAGCGATCACCGGGCGCTCAGTGCTCATGTATCCGCCTTAGCTCGGCTAGTATAGGTTTAGATCTCTGCCACAATTCTATGAAAGATCATATTTTGAGCGCATAAAAGTGAATTTTGCACGCACGTGATTTGAGTTTTGTGGAGAAAATGTTCGTTTTGCAAAGAAAAAAGTATTTAGAGCACTAAAATCAATTTTGCTTTTAAAATAAGTTTTTGGATGTGTGCAGACCTTCTCTTTTGTGTGTGCAATGCTTCGCTGGCTTGCTCCCTTGACCCCCCCCAGTGCTCTCTAAATGCCAACGGCTCGCTTGCTCAACACAACCCAGCATTACAATATGCTATAATTCCAGCCAATCAGAAACGAGGCTGCTAAATTCTGATTGGCTGCCTTGACAACCAAACACAACATTCCTTACATTACTGATGACAACGGAAGAGGGAAAATACAGGGCATGCATAATTATTATGCAAATTTATATTCTGATTATATTTTTTTCCAAGCACATTTTTCCAATTCCAAACAACATCAATCTTAATAACTACTATTAATCTTGTATTTAATCACTTATAACCTATATATTATTGTTCATGAAGGCTGGAAGTGTAAAATGCCTTAAATTCAGGTGTGCATACTTATTAAGCAGGTTATCTTCTACAGATAAAATCTTGAGATGGACTAAAAATGAACTCCCAAAACTTACTGCCAGATTCTGGAAGATAAATTCTTCAAACAGTGGTACAAGAGGATGTGGTGCTGGTCCTTCAAGAGTCACTCTCAACTTATCTGTCATTAAAGCCTATATATATATATATATATATATATATATATATAAATATATAAATCAGTTTTTAAGTATTAAGTATTAAGTAATTAAGTATTTTTTAAAGATTCTATACTTCACCTAAGTCTCTGAGAACCTGACACCTTGTACTTCTGGAGACTCCAGG